AATTGGGCCTAGCTTTAACCTGGTACACATACTGCGGGAGTTTCAATTAATGTAGACTTTTTCATGTCTTTGTTATTTAATTGTTGAAATTTCTATTGTTGGTCAATCGAATAGCACTTCTTCTCCATGTCTTTTATATTTACCCCTCTATCCATTAGTCCCGCAAACTTAAGTGAATATGCACAATTAACGGCTCAAAATATGCAAAAGAAAAAAAGTGTTCCAATCTTCCGCACTTTCCCATATAAGTTCATGCAATTTTTAATTATTTTCAGATTATGACAAACCTATGAATAAAATTCCTCTTGCCCTATCCAGTGTGATAGTTTTTTTCAGTAATGTGTATGTAAGCCTACCACTGAGTTGCACTCTATTATTTTTCACGTTCAGACACATTCTCATCACATCAATTCTCTGATCCACTTTTCTTATATAGCCAGCTAATTTTTTTTTCTGATTATTATCTCGTCCAAACTCCATTAAATTTATTAATCAGTTAAGTATGAACTTCCATCACGTTATTCTGGCCCTTATTAGATTGTTTTATTTAACGAATGCAACACCGGAACCCGACGCTTTTTTGTTTGTTTTGAAAACACACATTTATTACATTGCTTTTACCTAAGGATCCTCTCATTTTGTTCCCAAATTTATTGTAAAAATATTATCGTAATAGTTCAAGTTTTGCCACTGGTCATCTTTCAGTGTTGATCTTAATCACATCAGCGTATATGGTGGGAGCTGACTTCGATGGCCGTATGGTCGTATCGCTCCCTCCTGTCCATACCAAAACTGTTTATATGCTGTGGCTGTTTCATTGATGACTTTTTTTTTGTTTGACAAAATATTAAATCTCTCTTTCTCGTTGTTCTGCCATTGGTAAGAACGTTTACAATTCAATTATGCAGCTAGAGTGTCTGAAAAGGGCGAATTTATAATGTAACATTGACATCAATATTTAGCTACAGTCGCATTTACTGTCGAAAAATTTATCAAATTACATTTATAAATATAACATTTTGGTATAACAGCATGCCTCAGTGCTGTTCAAAGAAAAAAACTCTGACAATGGTGCAAGAAGTGGTACAACACAAATTTTTGGGAGAGTTTGTTTTATGTTCATCTATTTTCAAAATACTAAGTTTAGTCTAATTGTGTAGTGTAATTGAGCGAAAATTTTAGCAAATTACAGTTACACAGAATGAAAATGCCTCCATTACATTACAATTACATGAATAACTGTAATTAATTAAATCAATTACAATTGATCCAACTCTGGTGTCTACTATCCCAATGGAAAATTCAACAGGGAGGATTTGTTGCGCCATCAGGACGCCCTGGTTATCAGTAAATTTCGAAATCCGGGAGGCCAGACGTCGATTCCGGGACTGTCCCGGGACGGTTGGTAGACCTAGCATCATCAGGTCTTGAATAGTACTAGATTTTGCCTACTTTCCCGATTTTCCGTAGGCTATATGTGTTTGTTGACTTGCATTGCCTATATATTTGTTTTAGTGTTACGGAAAATCGAAATGAACTTTGCTAACCGTGCGTTGCGTCTATATTATGTTTGTTACCGAGCGGCGTGGGTTGTTAATGTGAGTGCCCCGTATTGGGTTCGATACTGATTGAGACGTCCTAACGGATTTCTGCGCCCTCGGAATATAACTACTGATTTAAATCTGTCCCAATAGCCTTTTAAAATAACTAAAATTAGGCTTGTTTGCGTTACACTACCCGAGCCGAATTATTGAAAATGGCGTCCATATGACGACATAGTGGGACAAGTTAGTTGCACGGGGTTGCGTAAAAGTACGGTGCTTGCCATCTTGTTGTTATATAATACCTATGGGTGATCACTGCCGATTCTTATGGCGACGGTATCACCATCAGGGGCGATAGAGATACCCAGAGATGTTTTTGAACGAGTTCGCCGATTTAGCTTTAGGGAAATATTTTCGATACCGTACTGGTATTCTAACAGATACCGGTACCGGTACTGTCCGAATCATCAGCGAATTTGTTAGAAAAATATTTTATATCTGACAAAGCAGATGAATGCAAAAAGGGATGTAACACACAAGAGCCGTCAGCTTCCTTTTTTGTACCGGTACCAGGAAAAGAAAAGTTATCATCAAGTAATTAATTCCATGCTGATGCTTATTATTTGGTCACAAGATTGAAGATATAATATTTTAATAGTTAAAATAATAATTAAAAGTTATAGATAAAATATATAAAATCTTTGTTACTGCAAGAACGTTTACAACTTGCAGACATAGGTTGTGGTACAGAATATTATGGAAATACAGTTTGTTTTTCGCCAAACCTAAATAACAATTTTGATTGAATTGTATGCCAATCGGAATCCCATGGCCTGGTTTTTGGGTAGTATGGATCAAATGTGCATGAAATGTAAAACTTGTACGGTACTTGAAGACTTGTAGTAATTTAATGTTGATACTGTAATAAAATCAATATTTTATTTCAATGCCCCCTGACTGTACGGGACTGTGTTTGATATTGTTCCGTTCTTAAAAAATTGCCTCCGTTTATATATTTGCAAGCTTTTAATTATTCTTTTTAATTTCGCTTCGGTCCGGCTCAAATAGCCAACGAAATAACAATTTTATCAACATTCATTCTTTGGGTCAATGTTAAATAAAAATTAAATGAAAAACACATGAAGATTGTTTTGATATATCTTTTTAGCTTTTTCTTTCCTGCAAGTTACCAAATAAAGGATGACGGTAATCTATGTCCTTTATTGAAACTTTTCATAGTTGGCAACCCTAGATGAGACAGAAAAATATGTCCGATGGACAAGCCTGGTTTTGGGTAGTATGGATCAAATGTGCATGAAATGTAAAATTTATACGGTACTTGAAGACTTGTCGTAATTTAATGTTAATAAAATCAATATTTCTTTTCAATGCGCCGTGATTTGTATCAATTAAAGTGATTGTGTCGGGAGTTCGAAAACAAGAAGTTCAAGATATATTTCCTATCATTATTCTCTCTATTCCAGGTCTATGGAGGTTTCCCAAACTGCTTTCAACTCAGCGTGAAGCACATATCAAGCACATATCACACATATCAAGGAAATTTGATTGAAATGAATAAAGCTGCTGGACACGAACTCTACTCTAGTCTTGGGTATGAAAGATGTTTCATATCAAGATTTTCTAACTCAGGTTTTCACTCTTTGTATTTGTGACATTCCAAGACAAACATAATTAATGCAATGAAAACAAAATAAAATTTATATGGTTCAAAGTCAATTTGTCCAAAATGTCCTGGCTGAAACAACTAAATCAATCAGATCAATAACCTTGCAATTAATGTGAATTTATTTTCCTTCTCCCGTTTTAGGTTCTGTATTGTTATTGTCCAACCTTACTTTTCCCAACGGCCGGCAACCAACTTGCCTAATGTTGAACAAGTTCATGCCATATGTGCCCATCTTGTGCCATATTTGGGAAACGCAAAACAATGGAGTCTTATGGAAAATGTTCGTCGTGTTGTTGTACCGAATCGAATAAGTCCGCTGTTATAAGAACTAGAATGAAACTGAAGGGTGGATTTTGAACTTTAAGATATATGCTATCTAAATATATAACGCAATTAAGAATAAAAAACTATCTAATGCGTTGACCACTAACACAGCTTAGAACCATTTTTGGTCTTTTTCTCAAAGATTTTATAGTGATACGCCAATTTGAGGCTGTAAAATGTCTTCGCAACAATCCTACACTGTCATTTGTTCTTCTAGCGCAGCTTGGTGCTGAGCAGTAGGGCATTATGGAGCTCGACAGACGAAAAATGTTAACCAGAAAATAGAAACGGCCATTGAAGCAAAGTTGGGTCGGCCGGTAATTTCAACGAATAAATTCAACTTTTCATCTGTGATGTCATAAGGAACGCCATTGTCAAATGATTAATTATGACGATTAGAATGGCCAATTTACTTCGTAAGCAACTCGGAACCGGTATACTTGTCTTCAAAGACAATTTAATGTACTATAAATGTAATTTAGCCAACATGAAAGGATATAAGCATGTACGGCTAAAATTCTACTTCAAAACGCGACCTCTAAAATTTTTCTACCTAAAATATTAGTGAAAATAATAGGTATGTTTCAATAATTGTGTTAAATTGCAGAGAACAATAGGCACAAGATGGCTTCCATGATCATACTACAGGAGTACCAAATTGCACTGTAAATAAATTGCATAAAATCCCACGTGGTAAATGAATTTGCATTTTTAATTTTAAGGTAGCAAGAATATATTGTTATCCAATCTCTCCAACATGAAAATAATGAATTGCGACAAAGTTTGACCGATCACCAGAACGCATTGGAACTTATCATGACCAAGTACCGACAACAGATGATGAAGTTTACAGAGCACCAAAAGTATCAACATTTTTCAAATTCCCAAGGTTAGGAAAGTTAATTGTTTTACTAATATTTTTTAAAGGTTTAAAATACCATGTATCTAAAGCAAATAAGAAAACCTGCTAACTAATCCCATATTATGTAATGTTGATATGTAAATTAGCTTTAATATACCATATATGCTCGTTTTACCGCCCGATCGTGATTGAGGGCCCATTTGAATAGCCGCCCGTGTAAACAGAACATAAAAATAAATAAGGGCCGGTGCTTGAATACCCGCCCGATGTAAAAGCTGATTTTTTAGTGGTAAAGAACAATAGGAAATAAGAAGCGCTTTTGTCACAACGCTGTTAAATTTGAAGCGCTGGTAGATAACACTCACGCCTTAGGCGTCCAATTACATAACAGCGTGGTTCTCAAACTGGGCGTCGCGACGCCAAAGTGCGTCGTTTTAATATTGATAGGGCGTTGCAAAACTTTTCTTCTCTTGCGGATTTGTACCTGGGGTTCGTAAAAAAATTCAAAATTTTCGTTATTCTCATTTAAGCCATCAAGCGCCCATGCCTGAATAAGGGCTGGTTTGAATAAGGGCCTGGTTAGTGAGTTTGGTTAAAAAAATATGGGCCCGGGCTACAAAACAAGCGAATACGGTATTCTTATTGTTGTGCACGAGTCACACTCCAGCTTTTTCTACACTTCAAGTAGTTTATAATGTCATAGCTGATCAAATCAGTATTATAGTAATGATAAAGAGTTCCGCACCAAATTCAGAAAATTTCACCTTGGTTGGGAAAAGAAGCTCCATAGTATTTTGAATTGTTTTAAACTTCTCAGGGCCCTGGATACACAATAGTTAACTAATGATTTTTAAACTTATATTCTGGTTAGACTTTTTTTTTAAATATTTTAAAGGCACAGATCATAAAAATATTGTTCACATCAGTAATGCTGAATGTCATATCAGAAATATTTTAAATTCAAAAGAGGAGCGTTTATGTGGGCTACACTGCAACATTCAAACTTATCAATGCTCTCTAACATACACTTCCAAATGATTTAATTTCATCTATTATCCTAGGATCATGACAGCGCTGCTGAAAGTCTTGTCGAACAAGCTTCAACTCTCAAGAAAGAGATGGAAGCGAGAAACACATATCAAGAAAATTTTGATTGAACTGAACAAAGTTGCTGGACACAGACCAAGGTCTACTTTAGTCTTAGGTACGACAAATTTTTACAAGAACCAGTACTAGCTTTGCTCATATTGTAACGCAATATTATTTCTATTATCTTTACCTGTATGATATTTTCGGGCATATATGTTCGATTTTTATTTTTACCGAACACTGAAGCCCGGCCCACCAAACCATTTAGTGTGACCTTGTCAACACTCAAATTTTTCCCCATCAAGCATGAAATCTGAATCTAACAGTTATGTTAAAAAAGCTGCTCATGTGCGTAAAATACATGTTTTCATTGTTTCGACTTGTGTCTTTATTATTGGAACGCTGAGCAACAGTCGTATTCTTTTGTCTTTCTTGCATTGATTTTTTGTGTGGCCCGGCTAATTGTATGAAGTGGTTATATGACCAACCGAAAAAAATGTTGCACACCCCCTGCTTTAGAATAATGGTAAATATAATAATAAAATGTAAATCTCAAACAAAGTTATGTTTGCCAAATTCCCATTTCTGTCTCCCAGGTATTCAGCAAGAAAATAATGCAATTCGGTCCCTACAACATGAAAACGATGAATTGCGACAAAGTTTGACCGAACACCAGAACGCATTGGAACTTATCATGACCAAGTACAGACAGCAGATGATGAAATTTACCAAGCACCAAAAGTATGTGGATCTTGTCAATGTATTTCATAATCTCAGGGAGAAGAAAGTCTATTGTCTTACTATAACATGGCTGTATTATTACTAATAAACTTTCAATTGAAGTTTCAATCATTCAGAATACCTTATGGTTCTAAAACGAACAATCCAATTGCTTACAGGATAATGCTTTTATTTTTTTTTTTTTTTTGAAAGGGGAAGGGGGGGGGGGGGGGTCCGACCCCCAAAACCACCCCCTGGCTACATCCCTGGTTGTAGTGCTTGGTTATACCATCCCACAGTTCAGTTAGCCTGGCCCACAATTCTGGTCGCACATTTCAGTTTAGTGGAAATTTGATTCTTTGGATTGATGTAAAATATATTATTCCCGTATTTAAATTCATTAGGTATTTCCTGCTAAAAATCCTGTAATCGCTGTAAATATATGCACGATTAACCCTCTGACCACCACGAAATTGTGGCATGGCAAATTGTGGGAGTAACCTTGCATAACATTGAGCATTTTTATGTATAATTTTAAAGTAGAAATAGTGTGTACCAATATGGAGGTGACTAATTTTGTTCGCCTATTTTACATCAAGTTGTGTAAAGGGACTAAAACCTATGGGCAGAGAGTATATTCACTTGGCTAACACAAACAGTCCCCGAACTCGTAATAAAACTAAAATCGGAGTAAAATTATGGCCTAACCGCGTAACCTGGTACACACACTAAGACAGTACTGAAATAGGCATCCTGATTAATTCATTATATATTTGCCACTGACATCTGACAATATGTTATGAGCTACTATAAGTTGAATGACTGGAATCTTTCTTACTTGGCAATCTTGTCATAAGTAATGCTGGAGGTTTGACAAGAATCATTCAAGCAAAATAATTCAGCCACCTGGTGGCGCCAAAGGTTCAAGTATTTCAAAACAAAAAAGATGGCAGTTTTATCTTAAAGAACATTGATTATCTTTCCATGTTTCAGATCCACGAGATGGCTGATGTGATGAGGCATGCTGCGGATGTTGATGATGAGCAATATGTCAGAGATTACGAAGAATTATCTCGATTGCAAACAGAAAATGACATTTTAAGAGAAATGCTGATGATATCTAGGAGTTCATTTGGATCAAGACTTATAACCACTGAACAGAAAGATTCTGAAGATACTGAAAAACAAGAGAATGAATCTGAAATGGTGCTCACTGACGATACTACTAGTGATAAGACAGTTATACATGAGGGGGAATTCCCCTAAGACTACTCCCCAGACAATTATTATATTACAATAGGGAGGAAGTTTATGTTCCTTCAAAGGGTACTCCCCTAGTATGTGTACCAGGTTCATAATTTAATTCAGATTTTCCTTATTTTAGTTCTATCAAGAGTTTGGGGGACTGTCTATGTTAGCCAAGTGGGTATAACCCCTGCCCATAGGTTTCAGTTCCTTTTCACAACTTGATATAATGTAGGCAAACAAAATTAGTTACCTCTATATTGGTACACATACTTCCGGAGCGTCCCTTACTCTTGTTATTCATTGTGTTTCTATCGAAACTCAGTACTGAGAAAATATATCTGGTTCATACAAAGTACTCTGCACAAGGCTGTAGGCTGTCCAAGGGTTTTGCAGGTTTGCATTGAAAATCCTGTAGTCTATATCGGGCTACTCAACTGGCGGTCCGAATCCGAACCTTTCAGGTATTCGATTTGTTAGCCCCACTTTTGAAGTTTCCTTTTATAAAATCAGTTTTATAGATTTAAAAATATATATGAAAAGAACTATAACACCATAACAAACAATCTTGATTAGCTAATAATCATTAGTCGGCCGAGGAATCTTGTGCTTGAGGATACCGAAATATAATGTCTGGAAAGTCCGGACCCAAATATTTTTAAAGTTTTGTATGTGGACCTCCGGTAAAAATAGTTGAGTAGCCCTGGTCTATATTATTATATTTATCTTGCTTAAATAAATAATTAAATAATTAAATACACGGATATAATATAATAAGTGTGTTTCATGAGAGACTTTCATTTTCTCTACATTAGAGGTAAGATCAATTCCGGCCCGACCCAGGCCCATGGGTATGGGCCCGACCCGAATCCGACTAATTAACTGGATTTGCAGGCCCGAGCCTGGAGCAAACCCCAAATTTCATATTTTAATCAGGAGATCTCTGAATTGTCATTGCAAGAGTGTCGTGTTGATGAGGCAACTTCTGCCTTTTTGCAGACCACGGTCTCTCGAGCCCAAAACGCCCCATTTAAAAAAAAAGTAAGCGATAGAACAGCCAGACCTGGCTCGAATTTCGGGTTCAGGCTTCAGATCTTAGCTCTACTCTACATCAAATTTTTGTTTCACATTTTTTGATTGGCATATTATAATGTATATTCAGTTACACAGGGGTTCTTAAGCCTTGGAAATGTTTATTGGGGTCGCTCTAGACAAGAAACACTCGAAAGAGGTTCTGGTTGTCACTCAAATGAACACATTATTTTCAATGTCAATTTTGATGTTTCCAAATTCCCCACCTGATGATACATGAGATTGGAAAGACCACAGGTCATGGTTGTCTCCCTGTACTTGAGGCAATGGTTTAGTACAAACTGGTGTAGTTTTCAAAATGAATATCGAACTGAATAGAACATTCATAAAAAAAAATACAAATGTGGAATATTTGGACATCTGTGACAGACTTAGCATTTTAGAGTTTTATACCAATTGGGGTTAGACGACAACAGATGAAATTGCCCTTGTCCCTGTAGGTGGAATTCTATAGCTAGTCTTACTTCTGGACAAAAGCAGTGAATTGTTTTTTATTTTATATTTGTTATCATACTGTGGACTGAAATTTTTATTTTTGGTAATTTCCTCGCATTTCCAGATACCTTCAGAATCAATTACGTTAAATGGTAGTTCAACCACAAGCTATATGGTCGAGTTGTCTTGTCCTAGTCCATAAGCATTAGATATAGTAAATACAAGTTCTTTGTGTATGTTAGGGGTGTGCAACCTGCAGCACACGTGCCAAATGCAGCCCTGAAGAATAGATTGTGCGGCCCGCTGAAAAGTGCCATATTTGAATGACATGTGGCCCGTGGAACGAGTTTTTATTTTTGTAATTTCAGTCCCTTTTCGTTGCAAAGCCTATACCAGAGTTCAATTGAATATCAATGCCTATGACGTTGCAATGGCCCAACAGCTAGCTTGTGCGACGCGAACTACTCAAGTCATAAGATCAATAACCAAAATTTTTGTGCCTGCAACTACAAGGAAGACTATCGTATGTTAAATAAAGCTGTGGTAGCCGCAGTTTCACCCAGTTATTTCTATCTGGCCCTAAGGTTGCGCATCCCCGAGAAGATGGCCGAATAAACAATCTAGTACCGATATTTTAAATACATACTGAAATGGTATTTCTGAACATATTCCTAATGTTTAGTAAAGGACACGTTTCCTGGATATTTATTTGAATCAGATTGAACATTCCTGATACTCATGTTGGCTTTATCCAGTAATAAAAATGTTTAAATTTGTCATACAATCAGATTCATTCATTAAACTATATTATTAAAAAGTCAACTGAAAGCACATTTGCTGAAATATTATTGGTTTGAAGACAGAAATCTCTATACCAAAGACTTTGTTATTTTATACACAACTGAGCGCTCCAGAAGTAAGTGTACCCATATGGAGGTAACTGATTTTATTTGCCTACTTTACATCAAGTTGTGAAAGAGGACCGAAACCTATGGGCAGGGGGATATTCACTTGGATAACACAGACAGTCCCCGAACTCGGCATAGAAAATAAGGAAAATCGGAATAAAATTATAGCCTAACCGCAACCTGGTACACATACTACGGGAGCAATGCTCCCTCTAATTTTTTGTAGTATGTGTGCGCAGAAATTTTGGTGTGTGCGCACTTTTTTGGAAATGACTAATATTTATGCAAAAACCAATGAATAATTTTTGGCGTCATAACCGGGTAATAAGTGGGCCAACAACAAACTTTCTCAACCTGCCAACCGAGCACATTGTTACATTACATCGAAATACGTCTGTGCGCAGTAAATCTATGCATGTGCGCAGCCTCTGAAAGCTGTGTGCGCGCGCACACCTTAGAGGAAACACTGTACGGGAGTACTCACAATTGGACCCCATAAATCTCATAATGTAATAAATTGGTTACTAAGACTGGTTTTATACATTTGGAGTAAAAAAAATTAGCCGTCCTCCATATTGAAACAATTTCAGCATGATAATCAATTTTGCAAGATAGCACATTCTTTATATCAAAATGGTTCGAAAAAACACTTTAATGCATATCAAATTATTTATAAAGTTGAAACATATAAAAAAATATTTTACTTGAATATTAACTCAGTGGTATTGTAAATACAATATTGACTTGGTTGCATAAATAAAAAAATTGTTATAAAAATATTAACACATTCGTTTATAATATTATTAAATTTGTTCGAGAACATATAGAATACACTTGAGCACAAAGCCAAATGAATTTTGAAGTGCAAGAGTATACAAAGTCACGTATTTCCATAAAATGATTTCGCTGGAACTCTTGATTTGTATATTGTCAGATTCGGTATATTAGGTAATCCCGAAATATGTGAACCAAGATGGCGGACACCGGAACGTGGTATTTGTACTAAGTTAGGGTTAGGCCATAATTTTATTCCAATTTTCCTTATTTTATTTCTATTACGAGTTCGGGGACTAGCCATGTGACTCCCGTAGTAATTGTATCTGAAATTATGGCCTGGTACCTGGTACACATACTACGTTTTTGTGTCCGCCATCTTGGTTCACAAACTTTGGAGGTACCCTATATTATACAGAACTGCGCTTGGTTTCGCAATTATAAAAATAATACATAAAATTGCTATAGGATATTGATAGATATATACAGCGGTGGTTGGCAATTAGAAGCTCAGAAAAATTGTTTGGATGGAATGTGGTATAATTTACAGCAGCAGTGGGAAACCTACAGAATAATTATACAATATATCATAAAAGTAAAATATTAATATGTATAAGAATGACATTGAAGATGTTTCGATTACTAATACATTTAGATGTGGTCGACAATAAGGACCCAGAGCAGAAATAGGATATTTATACGGCCTAATTCATGAGCTCAATTACACAAGGTTGGGTTGGACATTTTTAAAATCAAATTAGACTTGAATAATTAATTTTTTGAACCAATGGACATAACCAGAAATTTGAGCCAATTTTAAAGTAGAGTGACTGACATAAAAATGCCAGCTAATTCAACATATTTTAATCATATAATAGTATATATTTGATGCGAATGAATAATGTTTTAATAATGCTGCTGATTAATTTTCAGCGGCCACTGATATTTAACAATATGTAAGGAGCTACTATTTATTTGAAAGTACCAGAATCTTTTCCGTTCAACATTGCCTACCAAATCTAATACACTCTTGGTGAGTTGGGCCGTAGAATTTATACTTGAGATGTGTAATCTGCGATGACAGCACAGTTATTATACAAGTCTCACGGAAATGGCACAAATACAATTCCGATAATTAAATTTTCTCATAATAATAATATTTTTATAATTTCATTATGGTTGCAATGGCATTATTGCTTTGGTCTTTGATGTAGTTTTAATGAAGGCGAGTTCAACATCTTCGTTCAGTATTGTATGCAGGAAGAAGTGAAATCAGATTTACTGGAAGTGAAAAGAAAATGTTACAGGAGTCAAAATATGTAGTAAGAGTGAAAAAAGAATACATACAAGAAAGAGCCAATAGAATAAAACTAGAATTTGTATATCTGTATACTATGCTAGGACAGCTTATTCAAACATGTTATGTTTTTTTATATTTATTATATCTATCCAAGCTCCACATCCCCCAAACTACAAAACTAATTTCTTGTCACTGTTAAAATTCCAGTATCTCTGAAAAATATTAGTCATTTACATATCAGTGGATGCTTGTACAGAGCCTTGTTCGGAGGTAAAAACGTGAAAGAAAAAACATTTCTTTATTATTTATATCTCCATATCCTATACATTGTTTTGTCACCACTGTAATAGTGAAATGGCAAAGCAACTGATTAAAATCAAAAGAACTGGGTGGAGGTAAAAGTGAGGCCTTGGATTCATATTATCAATAAGACCTGCTCAGCAAGTCTCATTGAAGATAGCGCTTTTGGATTTGCATTTTAAAAACTTATTTATGACGGTATTGTACTTTATGATGTTTTTGGAGCTGGATTTAGAATCAAATAGTAATGAGAATTGGATAAAACTTTATGTGAAAAAGCAACCCTTTATCTACCTCCGATACTAAGCAAGTTCATTACTCAATTCAATTTCAAGTGATTATCATCCAACTTGATATTTCAGGAATTTAAGACTTTTCATATGGATGCATGTTGGGGAAAGTGGGCACAGCAATATTTTGCCAGAGTGTCAAATTAATACAATTATCTCACCAGTATTGAACAATCACGCTCAAATCCTTTCGCCTCAAATGCTTCTATCAGTTTCCTAATATGGTTTGGATCAGGATATCCATTGCTGAAAAAAAAGAATTTATGAACTCTGTTTGACAATGTTCATAGAAAAATAATAAAAATTTAGTGAATCTTCTGTTTCAAGTCAAGTTTATTATTTCCAACCAGTAAAAATAACGCAATCATAAACTACGACAAAAATATAATTTACACAGTTTTACTGGGGAATGGAAGTCGCAGGGAACCAAACTGGTTATCGAGCGGCGACACCCAAGGTTCTAATATCTGATTAAAAAAGTATGAATCCAAGAGTTTTGAAACTGCTATACCTTATATTTACGGTGAGTACCGTATGAAATAACAAACTAAACCAGATATTATATAGGAGACATTAGGACCACCATGTTTAACAATTATAGATCTGGACTGGAGAGTATTGCAGTACAGAACTTGCACCTAGGGATTTGAAGTCATAAAAATTTCTTCTGAGTAATTAAAAAAAAGTCATGATGGCTACAAACTCTTGGTTGACAAACATTTAGGCGCTCTGGAGGTATTCGTACCAAAATGACGCACAACCTGAACAACCCTAACCTGGTACAATACTATGTCTGGTTGTGCGCCATTTTGGTACGAATACTTCGAGAGCACCAACATTTAAATTTATCATAAGCGACCATTTTAG